CACACACACACACACACACACACACACACACACACACACACACACACACACACACACGCACGCACGCACGCACGCACGCACGCACGCACACACACACCCACACACCCACACACCCACACACCCACACACCCACACACCCACACACCCACACACCAACACACACACACACACGCACACACGCGCAACACTTGCAGAAACCCACAAACGCACACACGCATGCAGGCACACACACGAACGCACGCCACACACGCACACACACACGCACACACGTACACACGCACACACACACACACACACATGCGCACACACACACACACAAACAAACACACAAACACACACACACACACACACACACACACACACACACACACACACACACACACACACACACACACACACACACACACACACACACACACACACACACACACACACACACACACACACACACACACACACACACACACACACACACACACACACACACACACACACACACACACACACACACACACACACACACACAACACACACACACACACACACACACACACACACACACACACACACACACACACACACACACACACACACACACACACACACACACACACACACACACACACACACACACACACACACACACACACACACACACACACACACACACACACACACACACACACACACACACACACACACACACACACACACACACACACACACACACACACACACACACACACACACACACACACACACACACACACACACACACACACAGACACACACCCACCCACCCACCCACCCACACACCCACACACCCACACACGCCCACACACCCACACGCCCACACACACCCACACACCACACACCCACCCACACACCCACACACCACACACCCACCCACAAACCCACACACCCACACACCGACACACCCACGCACCCACGCACCCACGCACCCACACACCCACGCACCCACGCACCTACGCACCTACGCACCCAGGCGCACGCGCATGTTCGCGCAGGCGCACGTGCACGCGCACGCGCACGCACACGCACATGCGCACACACGCGCACACAGGCCCGCACGCGCGCAGGCGCGCACACGCGCACACGCGCGCATGCGCGCACACGGGCGCACGCGCAGCCCTCGCAAGAAAAGGCTTGTTGACTGTGTGATCAGTACAGTCAGGTTGTGTATTTGATGTGCTCTGAATCTTTCCATTGCTTTTTCCACAACCGAACAGCTGATCACGTGTCATTGCAGCGAGAGCATCGCCTGCGTTCCCATTTCCCCTTTTTCTGCCTTTGGGAATGTGCCCCACGCCGCTCAGGTTGCATGTGCCCAGGCAGCGGGCGACCGGGGGAGAGGGCGAAGAGCCAGCGGCGGCCCCCGACAGCACAATCCTTATGAACGATCAAGTTGCTGGAGGGCCATTGGGCCATGCTTCCGTAGCCAATGAATGTATCACCGGTTGGTGGGACATTGCTGCCAGATTGCTCGCATCTTGTAGGACCAAGTGAAGATTGCTATTTTGAAGCTTGCGAGTCGTTTTCGTGGCGCAGGTCGGCGGTCCGGATGCAGACTTCTCTCTCTTTCGGGAGGTGTCGCAGCACCACATTTTTCTCACGATGAGCTGGACGACTCCGGTGCAAATTGCGGAGGAGCAATTTTCGAATGGCGACACACCTTCTCAGTTTGAAAGGGCATTGAAGCTTGTCAATGGGCTGACAGCCAAGGGCAATTTCAAGATTCAAGCTGCTTAGCAGCATCCTACCTGAGTTTTGCTTGGCAACCATTGGGTGTGAATGTGGGGAATAAAGGCTTGGGCCAGCATGCATTGGCGTATTGACCTGAAAGATCGATGTAACGGATGGTTTGCACTCATGTTGGAGAAGACCTTGCATGCAAGTCCAGGGTGCTCGCAATAGGAGACTGCAGGCAAGCGCAAGCGTCCAACTTGCAGCAGATTCTGACTCCTCGATTTGGTGAGCAAACCACTTGACGCCCGTACGCAGCATGAATGCTTGGTTGGGCCTATTTCGCCCTAACTTTTGATCAGGTTGACAGGGCTCCTCAAAGGATGCAAGGCCTGGTATTCAATAATCAAATGTGTCCTTGCCAAAAGAGGACAGTTTCAAGGGTATTATTTCCAAAGGCGAGTACTCACTTCCTGAGTTCATGAACTTTAAACTTTTTGGGCAGACCATATTAGTGGTAAATCTAAAGTTAGAACTTTTTTTGGGCAGTGAGAGTATCAAAGCACAGGAGGTGGGGCGCATGGCTGTTTCGCTGGGCGGCGAAGCTCAGGGTGGGACTTTGAGGCTGGGGTGAGCACGCGCGCGACTGCAGATGCGGAGATCCGGATCAATAAGCCCCTCGTTGATTGATAGGTTGTGTTCCCTTCCCTTGTTAATGGTCAACAAAGCGCCAGGGTGCTCCCTCCCCGAATCAATGTCCAGGCATGCGTGGATGCTGCAGCCCCTGATTTGTACCCCTCTGCGAGAGTATGTTAGAGCGAATCATTGTAGCTGAGCTGAGCAAGTGCCAATCAATCATGTTTAGGTAGATTTCAGGTAATTTCTACTAAACGATAGCCTGCGGCCTCCGCCAAGGGCTTCTCCAGGGTGCCCAGAGAATCGAGGGAGAGACATGCAGGGGTTTCTCAAGTTGAGTGTGTGGTTTCCCGCTAAGCATTTCCCTGGCAATCCCTCAGGGCTGCCAAGAGGCAAGGAATCCCTGGGCGCCGCATCGGTTGTGATCAAATGGCGGCGGGAAGTCTAGTGATTGCGCCTGACTCCTTGCAGGTCGAATGTGCAGCTTCCATGTGCTAGATGTGGACTGTTGACTTATAGCCCACTAATTACAAAGAGAAGCATTACAAGGAAGATAGACACTCGTTGGCCTATAGTTTATTGTAACGAAGAGAAGCGTTACAAGGGACATAGACAAGATGGACGCTGTCAATTGCGTTTCCACCTTGGGACAAATTGCGATCCCTAAATAGATCCACGGGGAATCCACTTTCAAGAGGTTTGTGCACAGAATTGTCTCCCAGCCGGAGGCTGCTGCCACTCCAGGGCACGGCCTTGGGCAAGGCCGCGGAGCTGGTGTGGAGCGTGTGCCCAGTGATGCACTCCCCGGAGCATCCGAAGCTCTTCTGTCAGTTGGATGGGTGTTGGTTACACGTCGGTTCCATGAATGCGTTGGTTGCATTGTGAGTCTGAGTCTCAAATGCCAAACTGTCAGTCCAAACTACCAAAAGTCAAAGAACAAGCTGCCTGTTGTAGGGTTTTGCATTTTATTGAAATTGTCAAGTGTCGTGTTCTGTTCATAGATTCTCACGAGCATCAACTCACCTGGTTTGGTTACCCGAAAGGGGGTTGTGATCAGGTGTCACTTTGAGTGCCATTTCTCGCCGAGGAAGGGATGTGGGGAGCAGCTGCAGCAGCTTGTGAATCACCACAGATCAGACGCTTGTCTTTCAGATGCCCAGCGGTGCCTGGGGGGGAGCGGGGGGACTCAAACCAGGTTGCCCGTTTTGGGTTTGGCAAAATCCAGGCTGCGTTACTTCTCAGTGTTTGTGCTCTGACAGGAGTTCAAATAGGTCTTTGCAAAGCGCCCCCCGGATCTTCGGCAGCACGCGCACTTACATGAGACAGGCGCCTTTTGAGACTACGGGCATGCGTCACTATGCAGTGAGAGAGCCTCAATCTGTACCTTTGCTTCTTGATTCTGCGTACTTGGGGGCAGGGTTGTCTTCGGTTGTCTTTAGAGAGAACAACCTTTTGGAGCAATGCATAGGCTACTCCACGGTTTATGCTCCCTTTCAAGGCATACAACCTCTGCGCCTCCTGCGAATCCGTCCAGCTCACATTGCTAGGTTGTGGAGAATATCTCTCGCAAGCGCGCGCGATGATCTGCGCATTTCGGTCCGGTGTTGAGTCGGCAGGGGCTTCTGGAAAAGGTTTGGAGGAAGTACTGCAATGCCAAGGCAGACGGCCGCGAACGTTCTAGCCGCGCCAAGCGGTACTGGTCAACACACCTCGAGGTTTTTTGCTGCCGTAAGGAGGCGGCTGCCCTGCTGCCCTGCTGCCCTGCTGCCTTCTGCCGCCCCCATTTTGAGTTTGACAAGTCCAGTTAAACAAGATCAAAGTTGTGACTTGACAAGTGCAATCCACTTAAACAAGGAGAAGGACACAGAATTGAGGTCGCTGAGGCCGCTGAGGCCAGGCTGGAGCCTGGACCCCTCTTTCCATCTTTCCCGGTGCCCAGTGTCCACTGCAGTCGGGAAAAAGAGACTTCCATAGTCTGGCCTTAATCTTAGAATCCTCTTTTTCCAGACTGAAATGGGCCCAGCAGAGGGTTTCGAACGGTTAATCACTTAGTTGTGACGCAAGAACAGGATAGAACTGGGAGCAAGACCAGAGGAGCTGTGCGAGGAGAAGGGGCCAGAGCACATTTTTCCGTTGCAGGCCAGCCAAGTTAACCACTAGTGGGGCAAAGTTGCATTGGCGCTAAGGCACTCACCAAGCTGGGTGCCCTCGTGGATTTTGACAAGGTTTCTTTGGATCTGGTGCTGATGCATGTCCGGAACCTGTGCTCGCTGCATCCAGAGAAGGAGGACTGATCACTGATCATGCCAAGGATGAATGTGTTCGCCCAGGTTTGTGAGTGGTCTCTGGTTCGAAGCTGTTCACTTCAACACGGTTAACTTCAGTTGAAAAAGCTTACCAGTGGGTTGGAACTAAGGTTTCTTACCACATCCCAAGCTCGGCCGAACTAGCCAGTCTCTTTTGCATGGAGAAGCGGGCGCGACATGTGGGGTGCTATGCAATTTTCCCCCAAGAGCGTGGCCTTTCTGGGCGAATTTTCCCGGAGCGAAATCTGGAGAACACGTTTGTTCGTGAGAATCCAAGATCCAGCAGACCTTTGCCCAGCTTGTTTGGACGCGCATGGCAGGCGCACTAGCTGATGAGAGACCGGCTTTGATGCGTATTGTGCTTGTGGCTACAAATAAGAATGCCATTCAAGTAACAGTGCAGGCCTGCGCTTTTCATCAAGAGGGTACCTTTGCGAGGAACTGCAAGTTGAGGAGGAGAGCATGTTCTACGAGCATCTTGGCCCTGGATGCATTGTTGATGGAGCCCTTCAGGAGGCTCCAGTAGGTGCGACCCCAGCTAAAGGAGTGACCCGCCATTGCCAGCTTTTTGAGATTCCGAGCGCCCAATTCCTCCACCGCAGTTTTCTGGCCTTGCTTTCGAGACGGCGGTTGAACTTGTGGGCTGCGTGCAGGCACGCGGCTTTGGATGTGTCAAATCACATGTTTTGAATCGGTTTTCCGTTGGGCGTGATCTGTTCCAGTCACAACTAGATGGCGCACAACTTGGACAGCCACAATCCTTTGACGTCAGCGGTGGTTTGGCAGCCACTTGCTAACTAGCTATGATGACTCCCTGCAAGTGAGCCCTTCAAGATCATGGCACGCACACACACACACAGGCAAGAATCTTTACCTCAGATGTAAGGCAAAATGCAGGAGGTTGCCAGATTGGAGGAACACCAAGTGCGCACCGTCTGGCACAATCCCTGGCGTTGGCCCCTGTGTTCGCCTGGCGTCCCTTGCTTAAGTTCGGCCAAGCTCTGTGGTGTTTGCCAAGGTGGTGTACGCAAGCGTTCGCATCCCCACGCGCCGCCCAAACCCTCGCGCCAACTCTTGCTGTTTGTGCGATTTTGCACGATCACTTGCCCTGGTGACGCTCCAATCTTGCGACTTCCTTTGTCATGGCATGCCAGCATGCAACCTAATTGTGATACCAGTGAGTGTTAGCAACCACCCAAGATCAGTATCTTCCATGGCTCCCCTCGTTGCCCAGGCAGCTCAAGAGATGCCTCAAGATCGCTGCCAAGCGGGCGGAGAAGTCGAAGAGGCAGTTCGCGGACATGTCTCAGGTGCGCTGCGTCCGGGTGAAGGTCGCAGATGCCGCGGACAATCCGGAGCAGGCGATCGTGGTGCTGGCAACTCCCAGGCAGAGACCCGCGAATGTGTATGCGCACACACACACACACATGCATGCACGCACGCACATATCGCTCTAATATATATATATATATATACGCGTATGTATACAGTGTATCTGCGTAATACCAATCTTCTTGCATATGTTTTGTGGAATCGACCTAGATATAGTGTCTCCTGAAGGTGCTTCCCTTTTGCTTATTTGGTTTTGAAAGGAAGCCACCAGGAAACCAAGCATTTTCAGAATCCCCCCCATTTTGAGACACACCCAAATGAGCAGCGTTTTTTGCCCCTCCATTGCGCAAGTAAAGGTCGAATATTATTCTTTGGAAATGTGCGCCGCGCCACAGTTGCGGAAGCCCGCGGAAGCTTTGCGAAGGTCTTAATTTTCTTCCACGGAAGCTCACGGAAGGGTGTACGGAGATAGCTATTTTCGAGCTGGAGCTGCGGAAGTGCGCGTCGCGTACTAGCGATAGGGTCGAAAATCGAACGCGCAGGCTCACAAACTATGCCGGTGCTGCGGTCGCGGAAGCGAAACGTCCCTTAATGTTGTCAGGGAAGCTCGCGGAAGCTAATTTTCTATCAACGCGCTTTGCGGAAGGTACCCTTGCAATCCGCGGAAGCGCCGCGGAAGGGTGGGCGGAAGGTTGAATAATCTCAAATGAGTTAGAGAGGAATAAAAAGCACCTCTCAAATGTGTATACATTGACGGCTGCTCCATGTTGCACTCATTGTTTGCTTCAGCCTTAATGCAGTGAAGTTGTCCGGATATGCTCAGAGCCTTCCAGTTTTTGAGTGATTCATTTAGTCGGTGTTAAACACACAGCCAGCTTTGCTAGCGGGACCGCCACAGGCTTTGATCTTGTTGTCCTTCTGGGGCGCTAAGCTTCTGACAAAATCCTTGACTCATGGCTTGGACAGGTTGCATGGCCAGTATGTTTGCACACATGGTTGGTGGTTTACTTCTCCTCGCCCGCTTGCTATTCACGGATTTGTTTGTCGTGATTTTGCAGGTTGGATGCATCCCGGGTCGTTTGCAAGACATTCGATGGTAACAAAGCCAACCTCCTTTCGAAGCTTGACGTTGCCTCTCTCCTTGTCGATTTCTTTTAGCTGCCTTTTCATGCTGCTCTGCTGGCATGGAAACGGCCTGTTGCCCCGACGTGCTCGTGCTTTGGACAACCTTGAGTCGTTGTTCCATCAATCATGGGCAGCCAGGGCGGCCTATTGGTTGCTTCTTCCTTTGTCCATAAGGGTTGGATAAGCTCGGATTAAGGACATGATGATTATTCTTTGCTCATGGCCAGCTTTTCATTGGCTTGGCCCAAGTTATGAGCGGTGGACTAGCGGTGGCCTACTGCTATAATTGACACGTAATAAGGTGTGATCGAGGCCTTCTTCGAGGGTCATCAATTGGCGCTTTCAAAAGCCTAGACTCACCCTGAGAAGCGCCGAGCGCACCAAGTTGAACTGCTTGTGATGAGCCGCTTGGAGACTCTGGCGAAGACTCTTGACTAATTGCCACCCGTAAATTCGGGCCTCCCCAAGAAAACAAACACAGAAGACAATCCATTTGTCACCAACAGGCCTGAGTAAAAAACGCGCTTTTGTAGCTTTCTGAAGAGCTGTTGGTTGAGTGAGGCTTCTGCTGCTTAGGCTTGGAAAAATGAGCTGTCTTAGCATGGGCTTTGCGCAATTATTAAGGTCCGAATACAGGCTTATCCAATTTTCTTGGATACATTTTTATCAGCACCTTATTAAAGCCTTAATAAGCCTTGATAGGACCTTATTAAGGGTTTATTCAGAAAAACACCACTGTACCCCGAACCTTACGTATGCATACCTGAAGTAACCCCCCCCCCCCCCGGCTGCCCATGAATCAATGGCCTGATTGCAGCATCTTGCTTTCCTAGCCTTGTAGCTTGTGCCGAGAAAGCATGCATTCGGCTGAAGAAATTGGCGCGTTTTGAGAACAGAATAGCAAGAACCAGTGCCAAACAGGAACTTGCAGAATAACCGCTCATGGCCAGATCCACTGCTCTTCCGGTGAAACGCGTGCCTTGTGAAAACCTAATATTCATGGTTGGCGCACAGTTCAATCATGTATACATGACATCACGCGGGCGAAGACGATGCAATGTTCGTTTCTGTTGGCGGGTGCTGGTACAAGTTGAAAGTGTATTGAGAAAGAGCCCTCTTTTTCCCTGTTTGCTTTTCGACTATACATCATTTACCCAAAACGGCATGCAACCTTTGGCTGCATGCGGGCCGTGTAGGTTGCAACCAGGGTTAGCTTTTGGCTTCGCGCACCAGCAGGAGGAGCTTCTTCGAAGGCGACGCCTTCCGCGCCGGAGACTTCCACGGGCACCTCCGCGCGGCTTCGATGGAGTGCGAGGGTTTCCTGAAGGCGCGGTTCCGCTCTTTGGCAACTTCTTCATGAGAACCACAATCAAAATCCGGGTAGATGAAGGTTAGTAAGGGGCACTCCCAGCCAGAAGTAGTTGCGGATATCCGCCTTCTTAATTCTTTACGTGGTTCTGGGTAGACCATTTTATTACCGGGTTTTGATTGTGACTCATGAGGTTGGGTGGACCATTTGCAAAGGGATATAGGGGGGACGAGCTCTAAATTTCCCACAAATTCCCGAAAGACAGCTTTAGCTTCACACATCCAGTACAGGACCAGCATATTCGGACCGTGCGACATGGTTGATGACATAGTCTTTTTCTTTGGTGTGCCCTTTGAAAGAAGGACATTCCCAGCTGAATTGCAACTTTATTGAACCTTTTGTTGTGGGTCAAAGAGCAAGCAGGTCCAAGCATTCTTCTGGAAACCCTTAAAACTCTGGAGGGAAGCTTCCAAACGCTCTCAAGTTGGAGATTTGGGGACGTGGACGTTCAAACAAGTGGATATGCAAACATATCTTGGTGGCTGCGCATACCCCACATCACCCTCCCCTTTGAACATGACTGGCAAGCGTTCACACTTGGGGCAATGTGGGGTCGAAGCCTCTTTGGCATACGCGCCCAAGCGCTGTCTTCCCCTTGCTGGGCCGGCCGTCCAAGTGGAAGCTGTGCGAGGCGCTCGGGGTGCGGAAGGCGCCGGAGGCGCAGGATTTGGCGGATGTCACGGAGCGGGTGGCGAAGGAGGGGCGATCAAAGTCTGTGCCCGGCCTAAATTACCCACTCACTTCGTTTTAGACCGACCTTTCAGCCTCGTAGATCGACATTTGATTCTCTTAGCAAGGCCTTGACAAGGCAAAATGCGTTTTTCCAGGTGGCTTTGGCAGTGAGAACATTGCCCATCATCAGCAGCAGCTGTTCCTTTCGCGATCTTCTGTATGACAAGCAGACAAGCTGAGGATACCTTTCTCAAGACCCAGTCCAACCATGCGTTGTCTTCTGAGTTGTCGAAACCTAAGAATGTTACGGCTGGTTGCAACTCATGCATGGAGGACCATGAAAAGGATACGGCTTGAGATTCAACGAGGTTTCCCTTCAGGAACGCATAGTAGCAGACACTCGGCACTTTTCAGCTAACCAGTTGATACATGGAATCATAGTTGCAGTCTTCCTTCAAAAGGCTGCTTCTCAGGCGCTGTCCCTTCTTTTCGGGGGGGGGGGAACAAAAAACGTCGGTCGTCGGGCAGGAGGCAAAGCCTGGCTGCATCATGGATCACCAGGCCTCAGTCATTAAAACGTGTCTGCGGCGCTTCGGTAGCATGGGCCTGGAGACAGGGCAGATCGCCAACTTCCACTGCTTGGACAGCAAGGGCGAGCTGGCGCCCGTTTCGGAGCTTGTCTCCTGGCTTGCTTTTCATCGCCCGAGCCCTGCGGGGTGTTTTTTAACATGGGCTAGAGCAGACTTAAGTCGGTCCGGCTTGGGAAACAAGTGCTTGTAGAAGAGACGAAGGACGGGCGTTCAATCCACATGCTGAGCTGAGGTATGCCTGGACGTGGAGTCATGGCAGGACCGGCTGACCCAATCGAAGCTCCGCTTCTGTGACGATGAGGTGGCAGGCGTGCTGGGCACACAATCATATGGCAATCCGCCAGGTCTGCTGCACTAGGTATGGGCACACTTTTGTTGAGGGTGCCCGCTTTTGAAATGGACACATGACACCCCCCTGAACCACCCCGCTCCAAACACCCCCCTTTTTACTCCAAGAGGACGCGGTGTGAGGTGTGGTTGACAGCAGCATGAAATCAAGAGCGTGTCGCTTGCCTCGCTTGCATTGCGCGTTGGCAAGCTGGCTGATTTTGGCGCCAGCAGTTCGTGTCAAGTTTGTTGCTTATTTGCGTTGCAGTCAACGCAAATCTGGCACGGGCAAGCTGCTGTGCTGGCACGGTCTTCAACTAGCAAAAGTCGGCTGTGTCGTCAAGATGCAGCGATTTGAGCAGCACGCTCGAACAAACTTTGCTAAGGAGTGGCTTCCGCTGCACTCCGAAGTAGATCCTACTTTTTCATTCAGCCGCTCTACATGTGCAATGAGTAATGTTTTGTTTAGCTGAGAGTTTGATAGGGTAGCATGTTCAGTGTGGCCGCAGTTCGGTTTGGTTCTGTTTCAAAGTTCAAGTCAGTGTATGCGCTGAACCTGGTGGAAACCAGTTAACACTTGCCAAGCTCCCAACTTTGCTAAAGCTGGTTGATTGTTCTGAATCTAGCTGAGTGCGGCTGTTGCTGTCTTCTGCAAAAACAAGTTGTGTATTGAAGTGATGTGGAGTTGGTCGGCCTTTCAGCCCCGGTTTCGGTCTGGTAGCGATTTGGTTCGGGTGACGATTCGTGTCAGCCATTGTCCTTTAAGCTTGTTTCTGGCTGGCTTCATGGGCATGCGTGTTGCAACTTAGCCAAGGGCCCATTTTAGTGGAGCCTGCAACCAGAGACGGGCGCAGCTGTGCGCGATTGTGACCTGGAACGCTTTACCGCTTTGTTGCCTGCTTCAATGTGAAGCGCGTCTCCTTTTGCGCGGTGTGTATTTTGCATGGATGTCAGGACATGCACATTGGCTCTCAGCAGGTAAGTAGGCTTCGCATATTTTGGGCACTGCATAGTTTTTCAAGCGCTTGCGACGGCAACTCAGGTTCTTTTTTTGTTAGTTGTTTTTCCCCATTAAGCACAATAGACATTGGAGCTTTCTCAGCGTTCACCAGTTATTTTGTTGCCCTGGTTTACCGGTGGGCGTTTGATGCTTCCAAATTCCTTCCCTTTGACGGCATCGGCAGCAACACAACAGCGCGGGCAGGAAGCCACGCCCTCGAGCTCCTCTTGCAATACGCTGGCCTGACCCGCGTGTCCCAGCTGGCAACTCGGGTGCACGAGAGGTGTTGCGATTTCTACTGGTTGGCCGCATGAAGGGTCCCGAAGTCTTCCCAGTTGACTTGGTGAAAATGGAGACAATCATCGGTGGACAGGATACCATCAGCGCATTCTGTGAGCTTCCTCTTCCTGGGGTGTCATTGCCGCTGGTTCTGTCTCCATTTCGAGGGAGCATTTGCAAAACACTGCCCGTTTGAAAGCCAGTTGTGGGGTGGGTTCTAGTTCTGGGTAGATGGGTTTGACTCACGGCGATTGTCCGAACTGGCCACCTTGGGGGTGTGCATCGATACCTACCGCACGCTTTGGTTTTAAGAAAGCAACCAACCTGAAGCATCCAGGTTCTTTTGCTATCCGCCTTAGCCGCTCCAAAGTCATGATTTCCTTTCGGCCTGGAAAGGAGGCCTGTAGTCCCTAACCCTTGCAGCTCCGTGTCGGCAACGCGAGAGAGCAAGGTCAAGGAGCTGCCGGGTGCTGATTCACAGCCGGTAAGGCAGGAAAGTGTGCAGGACCGGGTGTCCAACGCTCTGGCCGGGATGACGGACACCTCCAACTTTAGCGAAGGGACGCCCCTTTGTGGGTGTTCACAAACGAAGGGCGCCCTGCTTCCCTGCAGTTCGCTAGGTAACGAGGTTCTGCAGGGGAAGAAGTGGCAGCTGGTTTGGTCATGCGGCTTGTAAGATTCAGCAGCGACTCGCTCTATTCAATGTTTTTTTTTGTTTTTTCTCTCGCCCATTTTTTTGGCTGAGCGCAAGCGTTCTAAGGCAATCCCATTGTGTGTCAGGATTCCATTCAGCAGATGATGCAGCACCCTGATTTCGCCGAGGCTGTGGAGGCAAGGCTGCCAGGTTTGGAACCCAACGGAGGCAGATTCTCCACACCTGGGCGTGTGGATTTGTGGTTTGGTCCATGAATGTTATGCCATCTTGGGGCTTGACCTGGTTCAGCATTGGGGTATTTCTTAATGCGGGGAATCCCCTAAAACGGCCGGCTTCAAAACAACTCGAAAACGAAACAACATCTATACAATCAGGCAAGAGCAACAGGCTTGCTAGTTCGCTCCATTTGCCCGAGCCTACGCTTCTTTGTAAACAAAACAATGCGTGGTTTGCCACTGGCTTCTAAAGATCCCAGGAGTGCCTTTTTTCCCAAGGGCCCGCTGAACATGTTGGCGATGGTGCACAAGGGACTCCATCTTGGCATGTACCAACAAAACGCCACACACACACACACCAGCTCCACAAAGACAGGGAAAGCTGATGCACTCGGGTTGATGGTGGCGTGCTGCATGACTGAATTGGCACAAGAAGGCAATGAACGATGGCAGACCATTGCTCCTAATCTGAGTTTATTTGTGTCGTTGGGCTGTGTTGCGTTGCGGCGTGCTTTGTCGTGTTGCCTTGTGCTAAGCCCAGCCCTTCGGTGATAGATATGAGGAAGGAATGAGCCCTTCGGCCATTCCGACGTTAACAGACCCAAGGAGAGGGATGGATGGCATTTCCCCTCTGCATTGAAATTCCGTTCCTGTCTGCAGCATACCAAAGGTGAATGTTGAAGAGTGAAATGGCCCTGGAGAGCTGCCATTTTCCTTGGCATTCTCGCCTGGCGGTACAATGCCAAGAGCAGCAAAGAAGGACATAGGAATGATGAGCCTTCCTTTGTTTGTTTGTTTGTTTGTTTGTTTGTTTTGACTTCTGCTTGTGATTGAGTGGGGACTGTGAAGAGCAACTTGCCAACGTAGTGGGATTTGCAAGCTTACAAAGGTCCTGTAAGCAGTTACCCCACAGCAAGCATTCGTGCCCAAGATCTGCCTGGCCAAGTTGAGCTGATGCCCATGGTCGCCCCGGGTTCTTTGCCTCGCAACTGACGTGTGTTCTTCCGTAGTCGGCCCTCAGCGCTGAAGACTGCACGTGTGAAAACATTTTTTTCCTTTTTCTGACTATTTCTCAGGCTTTTGCTGATCTGTTGGATTCGGTTTGTCGCGATGCACTGCCCCTTGCCACCTTGGAAACCATTCTTTGGCGCAGTGCAACCAGGAGAGGCAAAGCACTCGTTGCAAAGGGTGTGGATGCTTGCCAGATTCTTGCTTCGCAGTTGTAAATCGATCATGGAAGGCCTGGCACTGCCAGTACGATTCTTGGCATGGCCACGTTTGTCTTGAGGGGGATGTTTTGAGGTTGGAGTAGGAACGCTCGCGGCTTCAAGTCCGCCTTTTTCACCACATACCTGCCTAAATGATCCTGGATGGGTCAATTTGGGGTTTGGCTGGAACGTGGGGCATTCTGTGGAGACTTGCCTCCGATGACCGAAAAAAGCACGCATGCGCCAGATTTCTGGTCCCTTCAAGTTTCCCAACTCGCTTCATCGGTCTTGCTGTCCAAAAGCCAGCACGTTCCTGATTTTTAGCAGCTTTACACCTGCAGTTCCTAAAGTTACGAGGATATCAGAAGACGGAATCCCCTATTTTCAGCGGCAAACTCGTCATGGCGATGTATGAGGGCAAAGTCGGCCAGGTGCTGCTGGAAGACAAGCTGCCGGTGAGCGAGGTGCAGAGCAAGTTGGCCGGGCAGAGCTTCGAGTCGACGCCGCTGGACTTTACGACGGTTCTCTCAGCCGGCAATGTGACCTTGGAAGGACCGCCGTGGACGGATCCGGTTGGAACGTTGGGAGTGGCGGTGGAAAGAATGGGATTTTTTTGGATTGGGAACCCACTGGTTCAGTTTGATGGGGGTGCCACCCCCAAGTAATGATCTTGATCCAAGCAATGAAGGGGGGCACCCCCCAAACAACATCAACAATGGTTTGCTCGTGGCGGCAGAGAATCTCTCAATCGGGAATGGCAGCCTTGAAGCTTTTTGAGGCGAAGTCGGGAAACATTTTGACCTTGGACCCTCCTTGGATGACTTGCCTCCCTTCATGTATGGCCCTATAAATCAGTGGGCTCTATCCTTTGGAATCAAGTCCTCCAAGTTGGCTAGAAGTTTTACTCGGCCCTTCAAACATGGTTGGTGGACATGAATCCTCATGCACATAATATATGCGAAGAGGGTTTTTCGGTGAAGGCCATTCGCGGCCCAGCGCATCTTGTGAACTGGGGAGATAAACCACTTGCCATTTGGTCGCTGCTCGTCCTCAGAGATTTGCGAGTGGCACTCTGCAGGATCTGAGCGCCAGAAGTGCGTCTTCTTCCAACCGCCAGAACCCGAGGGCACCGGCGGTCGATGGCTTATCAGCGACGCTACTTTCAACAACCAGGAGAGTCTTGAGGTTGCTTAATCAACTAAAACAGGGATATGCCCAAAGAAAGGGACGCACTCAACATTGGACCTTCTTGACACATGCACACGCACACACAGACACAAGCACTCACCACCAGTTTGCCAGTTTGCCGCAGGCTTTGTGCCCGCTTTTAGTGGAAATACCCGCACTCTTTCTCAAATAAATGCAAACTGCGGACCTTGCATGGCTTTGGCTTAAGAAAAAGCGCGCTCCCCGGGTCGGGTCGATTCCCTTAAAAGGTCCCGGTGGGTGTTTGGCTTTGCAATTGTTTACTTGTGAGAGGGGAATAGGTTAGTGTCTTGTTTCGTTGCTGCCATTGCATCTTGACAAGTTTTGGGTTTGAGGGACTTTCACGCCGCGAACTACAACTGGAGCTTATATTTGGAATCTTGATCGGACGCTTGACAACGTTTGCTACAGGGTACCACTTGCAAGTTTCTGCGGGTTATCAGCCGTACAGCTCGAGGCGGCAGTGAATATCAGACCTTACAACTTTCTTGAACAAGACTCAACGATCCCAACGCAGAGGACGACCGGACAGGCCATCGCAGGTTCAGTTTAAGCAACGAAAGCTTGAGCGTGCGTACGAGGCGGGTTTTCAGGACGCGTTGGAATCGGTGCAAGAAGTGCAGACAGAGCAAGCAGACGACGAGCTGGAAGAAGTAGAGATTGAGACAGAGGTACACCTTGGCGCGCGGACGGATCAACAAGTGGCAATCACAGCTACGCTTGGTTCAGAACGTCACAGGACGAGAGTCGTTGGTGTTTGGCGGAGTTGGACGCTTTTCAGGATCAGCAAACTGGACAGACAGACATTGTCGAAGATCCGGTGATTCTTGAATCGGCGGAACAGCCGGACATCCCTGACGTGGCAGCAGACTCGCCCGTGGAGGACATCAGCTCAGACGTGGAAACAGCTGAGGTTGTTCTAGTGCCAGCGCCATCAGTCAATTCACGGCCTTTGGTGATATTGGATGACCACAACACCCTGGAGCATTTCGGGGTGATTCCGACACCTGTGCTGGAGGCGGTGAGGCGGCTGGAGGATACGGGAGTTGCCATCAAGTGCCTATCGTACGTGGGCACAGCATTTCGGGAGCAGACAACTCGAGACGCGTGGGTGGCAGGATCATTGTCACACATACCTCTGGAATTCGTGTATCGCAAATCGTGGCGTTCAGCGCGCCGACGAGACGGGCGCTCGGACAAAACAAAAGCACAGAGAGTCCTGGAGCTTGGAGCAACTGGCGACGCGCGGGACATCTTGGACGAACTTCAAGAGCGGTGGAACCGACTTTTGGATCCGAGGCAAGCCCCGTGGACGATACAGGTGAAGAGCGCACTCTGCAGCAACGAGCATCCAGCTGCTGGTGGAACGGATCCGAGCTGCGAGGACATTGCAAAGCGCCGGAGAGCGCAGCATTTTGTGGCTTGCAATCGCACACCGCTCAGGCGAGTATGCAAGAGGAGAGTCCCAAACGCTTAGGTAAAGAAAAAGGTGGTGACTCAGCCAGGCAAAGGCTGGGCCAATACCACAGCATAAGGGATCCAGAAACCTCCTCATCGTCATTCCCTTCAACTGACAGCCCGGGTGAAGCAGCCATAGTGACTTCTCCACCTCATCATACAGGACGGTTCATAGATGCCGTACCAAGTGATCAATTGCAAATCGCAGGTGAGCCCGCCGAAAGCAGTGGATTGCACGAGGGAGTAGGCAACACAGGCCATTCAGTGTCTCAGACAAATATCACGAATAGAGATGAATCAGCAAATTTGCACCATATGGAGGTTGATGCATCCACTCAACATTTGATCCAGGTCAATGCAGAGAGTACCAATGTGCATCAGCAGCAATATAACGCCATTCAGCAAACTGCTAATGTAGTCTATACGCATGACCCAGAGCAGATTGAGAGACTCATGCAGGCCCATGTTGTTGCAGCGTTGAGTGAACAGAGGCAACAATTGCAAGGTGAAGCCATGCAAATGGCATTCTCAGCTAAAGATGCTATCACTCAGGCTGAAAGAGAAAAGCAACAGACCCAAGTGCAAGCCGAAGTGGGTGTCGCCAGAATCCATCAAGAAGCTTCGGAAGCCATTCAAAAGCGTGACCAACAGATTGCTGAGTTGATGGGGCAACTGGAACAGGCTAAGGGACAGATTGAACAACTGAACATAATGGTGCATGGCTCGCAAAGTGCATGCGCTGGTGTTCCACCGGGTCCCCAGCAGGTGCCAGAACCCCCGCGCATTCCGAGTGGCTTCCCTGCTCCTTTGTGGAACGACATGACTCCTGGGTCAGGAGGCCATACTGGCGCGGATGCAGCACCACAGCAGGTGCAAAGGGGGGACGGACATGCTGCCAGCAGGCGCGACAAGACGTCCGGGCCCAAGAGGAAGTTTGTTAGGAAACAACCCACAAATCCGCGAAGATGACCCTCAGGCAAGCCCAACCGAAGAATCTTCCGTAGGAGTTGAAGATGAAGAGGCTTTGGGATCATCTAGTGACTCTTCCGCAGCCGGGCAACAGCCCTGGCGCGACTATGATGAGTTCGAAAGTTCAGTGTACAAGCATAAGAACCTTAAGATGATTAAGGTCACAAGGTTGCCAAATGACGCCACCTCTTGTAGAGAGTGGAAGAGCGCCTTGATTGCGTCAGTATCCCGTGTTGACATGACTCAGGATGATATGTTGGCAAAATACGTCGTGCGCTGTTTCGAGGGAGGGAGTGGCAGCAAGTTCCGCAAGAAACTTCACTCAGAGAAGATCTTTGTGCAGTTCAACAAGCACCTTGCAGCAGAACTCATTCAACCGGATGTGTTGGCCACCAATGTCGAATCGTCGCATGAACTCAACTCACACGTTGAAAGCTGTGCATTGAGAGGTGAGGGACCACGAGCAGCGCCTATGTTGAATTTGATTTACTGTCACTTCTCCATAGGTGCATCGCAAGGGGTTGCTCTGAACCAGATGCATTTGCTCAACTTGAAGTTGGAGGGCACCACTGCAGCGAATGTGCAAGCCTTCATCAGAAGGGCGCATTACATCCGCAATGGGCTCAGGCCCGAAGACAGACCAAACGGCAAGACATTGTTCCATTGGTTGTGGCATGAGGTGAAGCGGGTTCCATGCTTGTCAAGGGTGACCAACAAAGTGAGAGATGCTTCCCAGGCGAAAGGTGGGAAATCGAAGCCGAAGGGATCGCAGGGTCAGGGGGGTGCAGAAAGCACGAAGGTTGAAAGCCCAGCATTGCCGGCAGAGACCAAGCCACCCGGAAGTGGCAGAAAGCTCATTTGTGCCTTGCGTGCCGCAGGACTATGCTACTATGGCGATAAGTGTAGGCACGAGCATGTGGGTCAGCCGGGCTCAGCACAGGCGAAAGAAGTTTTCGCCTTTGTGAAGAAGGGTGATGGCAAGGGTAATGACAAGGGTAAGGGTAAGGGTAAAAGCAAGGGTAAAAGCCATCCTGGAGGGAAGAGTGCAGCAGTGGCGACAGCAACGGCTGTGGCATCAGAACCTGCCGGCGCTAGCGCAGAGCATGCCCGACAGGGCTCGAGTGATCCCAGCTGCCCGAACCCCAACAAAGACGGAGTCATAGGGAAGATGTTGAAGATGTGGGAGAGTTTCGTATAGCAGGCATCCATAGTGCGATTGCCGATCCCGATCTTTCTCAGAGTGAGCATCCCGCTGATGCTTGCATGCATCGAGGGCATCATGACAACGAGTGTCGCGCAAATGCCACACACAGGTGTCGTAGGGGCCGCCGAGTTTGACAATATCTTGAACATAGGTGCCCAACCTACCTTGCACGGTTGGGAACCATCAACGAACGGGGGTGAGTTTCTATCAGAAGACAACTTGTGCATGTTGGCAAACATGGCAGATGATTTCCATAACATCTCAGTAGAGCTAATCGGAGACACCGGTGCTGCACATGACAAAGGATCCGAACGGGCCGTTCTTGAGCAAGGCATCGCCCCCGAGTTGCTAGAGATGTGGAAAGGTGTGTTGGACAGACCTGTGAAGTTTCTCACAGGTGGCGGTATCCAGCAATCAGGCGAAGCTGTGAACTTGTGGACCCAAGCGCTGGGAAGCATGCAGGTTCATCTGCTGAGGGACTGCCCATTGGCAATGTCTATTGGGCGGCAAGTGAGGAAGGGAAGGACGTTTGTTTGGGAACATGGAAAGGTCCCCTACATCGCTCTTAACCATAGGAAGTGTCGCATTTGGTGCCCGCTTGAGAACAGGTGGTACGCCAGCCGTGTGAAGAGTGACGTGCCAATGTTTAGCATAGGCCTTGATCAAGCCGGAAATGCAAGCATACCCGTGGCATGTGAGACCCGACACTCCGAGACTGAGCCGAACGGCGACGCTCTTGTGTTGCAGCAACTCGACGAAAGTGTTGCAAAGACATGTGAAGTGCAGCATTATGAGGCAGAGCCGGATGGCGATGCTCATACGTTGCAAATGCACGATGAAACTGTAAATAAGATAACCACACAAGCCGAAGACATTGTGGGACGCCTCAGTGTTGCAGCATGTGCCACTCACCAGTGCTCGACCTTCTGTGAAGAGCGCATGGAGAGAACATATGCATGTGTTTGTGTGCAATTCGCATCGCGTTGCGCGAGCCCGAACGGGGAAGGCAGTGTAGCAGACCGCACTATGAGTGCGTGCCCTGCAAAAGGTGCAGAGCCGAACGGTGAAGCACCGAAGAGAGACAGTTGGGTGTATGACAAGGAAGGCAACCTGATTCGCATTCATGTTTGCGAAAGGAAAGGGTTCTTCAATGCGAACGGAGTGAAAGAATGTCCCGTAGACCTGGGCTGTTTGGACCACGACAATGCACACCATGTGCGGGAAACAGTACGAAGTGTTTCATCGCAATTGGAGAGAGAACAAGATATCGCAAGCGCCCACGGGTGCCCGATGGACCGGACAGACGGTTTTCAATATACTTGATGAGCCATTTGTTCCAACAACGAAAAACCAGGAAAACACAAAAGTGACTAGTGGAAAACAGGCAGTGGAATCTCATATCAGACATGCCATGAAACAGTGTCAATCTGTTAGGAGCACCGCCGCCCAGGAATTCATCGACAAGATCGACCAGACCATTGAGAGACTAGACCAAGAGTTGCGTGCCTTGAGAGAGAGCCTCAGCGAAGATGTTGCCGCTCCGCACATTCAGGTGACACAGAGCGGGCTGATGGAGTTTTGCACTACTAGTGATTCTCCGTTGGGTAGGACAGCAGAAGCATATGGCATCAGGGTGACACGTAGCACAATGAATCATAATAATGGTTTGGACGATAAGAACATGGAATCCATGCTTGCAGTGGATCTTTGGGGTAGCATCCCGTGTGCACCATGGTCCCAATATCAGCACTTGTGTAAGAGCCTCTATGGGAAACCGTATCTCAAGAAGCTTCAGGCAGCACGACGTGTGTCCAGAAAGCTGTTGAGAAATTTCTGCAAGTTGGCACGCGCCACCCATGGCAAGGGCGGCCGCATTGCATTCGAGTGGCCAAGGGACGCAACGGGTTGGCAACTATCCGAATTGCAGAAGATCATCATAGAGTTGCGCATGTACACCATCGACTTCGACGGTTGTGCCGTAGGAAGCAAGGATTCCGCAGGCAATCCGCATCTGAAACGTTGGAGGGTTGCCGCATGCCCGAGGCTAGCAGCATCACTCGCACGATGCCGATGCAAACATGAGAAGGGTTTCAAGCATGCCGTCATAGCAGGTGCCAGCACAGCTAAGATATCCTCCAGAAATGTGCGAAATGGTTTGCAGTGCATGGTATCCGGGCAAAGTGCATGGACAAGTAGTAGCAATGCCATGCACCGCAGTGACCCATCAATGCGAACATCGTGAGCGGGAGCCAACCCCATTCACGGCCAAGCATCTCCCAAAGGCTCTCGTCGCCGCAGCGGACTCAGATGCAGATTCCGAACATGAGGAGGTGGTGCCCGAGGGTGTAGCAAGAAGGTTGAAGCGGGAAGCCGCAACCCTCGAGCATCAGGCATTGCACTCAAAGAAGAACAATCAGTGTGAGCATTGCCTCAGGGGTAGGATGCTAGGCAAATACAAACATTCTAAAAGACCTGTGGACCCGGATGAACCGGTAGAGTACACTCAGCCCGATGCGTTTGGGAAACTCATTCAAGGGGAGAATGTGATAGTAGCCGCAGAGCATGCTGGAATGGATGGTGAACAAACAGCGTTGTTGCTAAGAGACCATTTCTCAGGGCTATCCATCGCATACCCACAGACGGACAAAAGCGAAGAAGCAAACTATTTGTCTATGAAGTATTTCGCAGGTGCGGCGCTGAACGGCAGGACGGACACGATCTTCAAATCAGACACAGCTGGCGAGCTCACAAATGCCGCACAGCGGATGTGCTGGAACGTTGACCCCGCACTCGCCCGTTCATGGCCGCATCACGCCTCATGTGAAAGAGACATCCGGTCTCTGAAAGAAGCCTTTGCAGGCAGGTTTCTGGAGGAAGTTGTGGCCTGTGTCAGTTTCATACACCTCGAAGGTGAGATCCTTTTTGGAACCAGCACCCTTGTATGATCATGAAAAAGGCACACCAGTAGATGACCAGAAGAAAGGTAAGACCAAATGGGAAGTTGCAACAGGACATCCGTTTCTTGGAACGATATACCCTTTGGGAGCCCTGGTTTACTACTACCATCGAAGCTCAGATGGCATGGCTGCACCAACCACCAGACCTGGCATCTTTGCCGGCTGGAAGCTAGCACCAGGACTAAGGTATAAGGACACTGTTCAGATTCTAGACTCTGAATCCCTCAGACAATTGTCGCACGAGTATTGGGTTCCTCGTGATGTGCAACAAAAAGAGGTATATTTTCCTCCGCTTGTACACATAGAATACCCACTACAGAACGCCGCCAACATCGCACTAAAAGATGTGACCGACCCAATGCATGAGCTTAGGAAGGCCGCGTTTGAACGATATTTGGAAAAGGGCGTACTACCATACGAAGTGACAATTGACGCATTGCCCTATGCCGAACCAAGTAAGACAAAACCGAATCATGCGTATCTCACATTCAGTCGCCTTCTGAAACATGGTTTCACAAAGGGTTGTTCTGGTTGTTCGCTTGGAACATACAATCACTCGCAGACAAATTCGATGGACTCTATCCCAAAGAGGTCAGCAGGACGGAAGAGGCGCAACCATCCGGCGCGATATCATCCTCAACCGCCCGTGCAGGACCAGGGGGGAACACGCCCACAACGTTACCAACCACTCCTGTGCCACAGGGGCCGTCATCAGTGATCGTAGGACACAGGGACCTCGCAGAACGAGAAGACCTGAGAGGGTTCCCTCCGCGCAAGGGCGTCCCGCCGGACGACCCACGCGAACCGGGTTACGTGCCAAGCGATCCGACAGCAGCTTCCAGCAACGACTCAAAGGTGCAGCAACCCCTTTTCTGCCAAAGGGATCCATCCTTCCAGACGATTGGGAGCAAGGGACAGCTACAAACGCATGCGTGTGCAATTCTCATGAAATTGCTATGGGGGGCAAGGCTTGGTAGACCAGACATGCTTAAAGCCATAACCTTTTTAGCGTCACACGTGAGCAAATGGTGTAGGGCTTGTGACAGGATGTTTCCTCGCCTCCTGTGCCATGCACATCACTCTGTAGACTTCACTCTGGTGGGGCAGATCACCGACGTCCCAGCGAATGTGTGGTTGGAGTTGTACGTAGACGCTGACTTTGCAGGGGACAGTGACTCAGCACTAAGCCGGGTCCAATGGAACTTCATGGCCACTGAGCTGGATCTCTAAGAAGCAGACTGCAACTAGCCGAAGCACAACAGAAGCCGAAGTGATTGCAATGGCCTACGGGCCATTCACCGAAGCATTGCCGATGATGACACTGTGGGGTCACATGCTAGGTAGAGATGTTGACTTGATCATCTATGAAGATAATGAGGCAACTGAGAAGGTTGTACGAGCAGGGTTTAGCCACAAATTGCGGCATATCACTCGCACACACACAAAGTTAACCTCTCATCTTTAAAAGAAATAGTAGATCAGCCAGATGTGACTCTCCAGCACGTGAAGACCGAGGATCAACGTGCCGACATCTTTACGAAAGGTGTTGAGGCGCACAAGTGGGCCAACGCGATCCACCTCCTTGGTATACCCACAATAGTGGAAAGTGACTCAAGAAGTGTGAGAGACCCTGCTGGCGCCATACCAGCAGAGGAGCCACCCGCTTGTGTTGAACCTGCCAATCCAAAGAGAAAGAAGAAAGCCAAGAAGAAGAAAACGTCTTGAAGATTCTTAAGCACAGAAATGCCGTAAGCGCAAAGAGGGGGGAGTGGAAATACCCGCACTCTTTCTCAAATACATGCATACCCACAGGGATGGCAATACACTTCGTGTGGGGATTACATCATGATGACTTTGCGGTTACTTGCATCAACGGGAATCGATAGGACATAGGGGTTCCCTTCAGTAGGGCATTCCTTCCATTGCATCTTGACAAGTTTTGGGTTTGAAGGACTTTCACGCCGCGAACTACAACTGGAGCTTATATTTGGAATCTTGATCGGACGCTTGACAACGTTTGCTACAGGGTACCACTTGCAAGTTTCTGCGCTTTTGGCAAAGACCTGGTGCCAAGGTAACTTGCCCCTGCTTTTGGCAAGCGCACTAGGGCCGAGTGCTCAAGAGATGGGAAGTACTTTTGACGTCAACTAGAACGAAGCAAAGCTCGGCAGTTCAGGTGCGCCTGCAAGATTTAGGGTATCCACCGTGGAAACCTCTGGCGCAGTTCACGTGTTGGTTCGTTCGTTTTTTGTTTTGTTTTTTTGATTTTTTATCCTATTCGCATTCTTGGTGGAAGCGGGCTCGTTCGAGCCCACAGAACGGGTTTGCTGTCACCACCCACGAATAAGGAAGCACCTAGTGGAGGGGATTCGGGTATATCTGTGCTTCGCCAAATGCCGCGCGAAAACGCGAGAACGCGAAAACGAAGCGAGAACGCTGAAGCAGCGAGGTTCCAACAGCGTGGTTTGCTCATCACATGGCCATTGGTTTTAATAGCCTCAATGCGAAAGCAAGCTGCGCATGACTTTTTTTGGTCTGCGAGCAAGTTGGTTGAAACGGAAGTTTGGAGGCCGACCGGCTTCCCCCCAATGAGCCCCTTGAATGAAGATTTCCGGGGGCCAAAAAATCACCTCGGACCCAGCGGGTTTCGAGCTCTTCACCCGCCCAACACGCTCTCCAAGAAACCCAATCGGACCAGGGGGTCCCTCCAAGACTAGGGAACCAAAAAATCGTCACGCAAACTTGTTCTTACCAGGGCCCCGAAGAGATAAAGGCTGAAGAAAAGCCTTGCCAACTCTTCCCAAGTTCTCGGTATGAGCTCTTAGCCCAAACCTCGCTCCCTCAAACGCAGCTCGAAATCGGCCACGTCTCTGCAGCCGCAATGCTGGATTTCGCGAGTAAGCCAACAACATCCTTCCTGCAACTACGACACGATTTACCCCTGTCAGGGATTCTCAACTTTCAAACTATACCAGTCAAACCCCAACATGCGATCAACAAATGCATTTCAACACTTGCTTCACTTGGGATGCCTTTTTCTTTTTTGCACCATTCATGGTCATGGGCATGAACATCTCTGGTGATCGATCGACGCTTCCGTCGGGTTTTCTCAAACGAAAGAGCTCTTCGCTAGCCAAGGCTTAAGCCTCGACTGACACCTTCTGCACCCCAGACCACCCCCTTCCCCCTTAGAAGGCTATGCAAACCGCGGCGCAGGAGCAGGCAGTTGAAGAGTTGCTGGAAGGCTTGCGGCGGCTGCTTTACCCCGCGTCACCCAAGCTCTTGAAGCTCTTGGAGCTGGAAGACCGCCTGCGCGCGCTTCTCAAGCTGGCCTTCACCCATGGCCCTTCTGGCATCCCGGGCCTCTTGCGCAACTCGAGCCGCGCTAGGCGCTTCGACGGCTTGACTTTGGACCATTTTTGGGGCTTTGAGTCATCTACTTGCTTAGGGGGCGCAGAAAAAGGCGCCTAGTAAGGTCCATGACGCCAAAAGTACGGCAAGGCCATGAGCCAGAGAAAGCGCTTTAAATGATGGTGCTGGGTGATGACCCAGTTGCTGATGTGAGATGCAATGGCTTGGCACCCTTTTTTCTCTTGCTTTGGGCAGGCGAGGGAATTGTTGGCTTAAGTCGCTGGAAGTTTTTATTTTCGGTGCCCAGATCCGAAAAGAACTGTTCGGGCCTACGATTGACTTGGGGTGAACATGGGGAATGGGGGCAATCCAATTGCTCCCACTACGACCTTGCCAGCCACATGAACCACAAGTAGGCATCGCCCTGCTGTACTGAA